GCTGAGAGGGTCTATGTCCCCCAGGGTACTGCCGGAACGTACCCTGGTTACGGTCCGGTATACCGGAATGTACCCTGGTACTATCTAATATGCCGGACCGTACCTCGCCTACTCCACTAACGAGTCTAGGGAGTCGCCTACGCCTACTCCTTAACCCTAATCCTAACCCTAACCCTAACCATATCAGATAGTTACCAGGGTAAGTTCTGGTATACCGGACCGTACCCAGGGTACGTTTTGGCAGTACCCTGGGGGACATAGACCCTATGAGCTATACTAAAGCTCCATGCAAGCATCCATACATCACATAACAAGTGTGTCGTCGATTTTTTTATTAAAATATAAACGGAGAAGAGGCTTTAATTTTTATAGATAAAGTTGTATACACGACAAGGCACGTTGAAATACCAGACTGACTGTGCACCGAACAATGGATATTACATGGTTCCTTTATATGACAAGGGTGAATATAGTCTGAGGATTGAACCACCTGCAGGCTGGAATTTTGGTAATCATGTATACTATGCTAGTGGACATAATTATACGTATGATGTCATAAATTTATGTACAGAAATTACTACTAGTAAATCACATATATATGGTCTAGTTCTATATAATAATACATGTGCTACTTCATGCATTCCTAAAAATGGTAAGAATAATTGAAACAATGTTTAGTGGATCTATATTTCCAATCTAGGAAATAAGAAATCTCTGAATTAACCAACCAGAATGATTATGAAAGATCATAAGATGCTAATGAAAATTCATGTTTTGTGGTGAGGAGCTTTTTGGGAATGTTTCTTTTTTTAGTTTCCTTATCGTTTAGACACTTGTCACCCTTATAGATTATTAAACGTGCTACTGCTCCTAAACTGTATTGGGTTTATGCTTCTTTCTGTTTTAGAGCCTGATGGTGTAGACCTGGTTGTAGATGGGACGACAGATAAGTGCAGTCGTGGGGAAGACATCAACTTCCAGTTTAAAGGTTTCTCCATATTAGGGCAGGTATGAATGAATTTGAGTAAAAATGCATATCAAGATATTAACATTGATGTAAAATCTAAACAATACGTGCAAGCACACAACCGTAGTCATGCACCTGCTCCGATAATCAGAAATCAACTTCGTAATAGGTTAAAAACATCTCATCCTATGCCAGTGAGGTCTTTACTAGCCAATCCTGACTCAAACTCCAACCACGCATCCTAGGCTGATGAGGCCTACACAAGACCTTCATGGCGAACCCCAATAATGTCCTATTCTATGTATGTTTCCCAAGTATCTACCAAAAACTCTACATGCGCTACAAAAAATTCCATATTTATATGCTAAATCACTACGAAAACTATTGTCATATTCATTGTCGTGTTCATTTTACTGCTATGCAGTATGCACTGATTAACAAGTGGTTCCTAGATATGAAGTCCTGATTCATAAAGCCCCATTTACTAAATGATAACGCCAACACTATCGTGATAGAAGTAACAGAAACCATCTGTGCACTTTGAAAACATACTCAGTGTGACTTAGTACAAGTAAGTTTACACTACAACATATAACTAACAAAACTATTCTCGCAAACAACCAGGTAATAATATGTAGCAGTCTATATGACTAGCATGTAATTAAGATAAATTTCCTTCCAAGCCCCCAAACTTAAAAACATAATACTGTTATTTCTGCTGCAGGTGACCAGTAAAGGGCAGAGTGTAGGCCCAGCCGGTGTAACTGTGTCTTTACGAAGCAAGGGCTCAACTAGTGTGTTGCAAGTGATTACATCTAATAAAGGTGGCAGGTAAATATTTATTAGCCATTTGAATGAAATCAGGACAATGAAACAGGAACTCATTAAGTTTTTGAATGAGATTTCAAGGTGTCACCATATTTTAGCAGATACAACAGATATAATATTTGAATCCAGTGAATATACACTATTGCCACTTGTATAAAGTGTGCTGAATCATGTATTACAAGTTTTGTAATCTCCACCAATCTATATAAAAGTACAAGGACATAAAATATCTTAACAATTAATAACTCTTTGTCATTTTTTCAGCTTTGAATTTTCAAAAGTTCTACCTGGTACTTATACAGTAACTGCTACACATCCTAAGTGGAAATTTGAGAAGGTAAAGAAAGGGAGTGGAGAAGGAATATCTGGTTGAATGTTGTTGTACTGTACAGGCACAGGTTCAAACATTTGGTATCTAGAAATGAAAGCATTATAAATTGCGATTGTATGTATCATTATGTAACTTGCAACTTGTTATTTGCAGGATGCAGTTTCTGTAACAATATCGAAAGACAATGGAAACATTTCTGGACTTATGGTGTCAGGTTATGATATTATGGTATGAAATTTTATAATGGTTTAGCTGCTTGATTGGGAATATGGGTTATTATTAGAGAGGCCCTAACTGTATGTTTATCTTATTCATATATCATCATATATAATATTATCATTTTACTTTTTTTTTAATACATCACTTCTAAATATAGTCAGTGCTAAAATCATTAAAATTTGTATATATTTTTATTACTGATCAATTTTTTATATTATTTATGAGCCAGATTATGATGAAACTAGCGGGATACCCGGCGTTGCCCGGGGAAATCAGTGGCGTTACTCGGTTGGTGACCGCTTGGTTGAAAGGAAAATGCCCAAAAAATCTAACTATCTATCTATGCATGCATCTATTCATCCATCCCATTCCATCCCATCCCATCCCATCGCACCACATCCCATCCCATCCCATCCCATATCCCATGCCATCCCATGCCATGTCATGCCATCCCATCCCATGCCATCCCATCCCATGCCATCGCATGCCATCCCATCCCATCCCATCCCAAACACTAACAAAATAATAAGAAATCAAAAGATAAAAGACATTAAAAATTAAAAATAAAAATAAAAAATATAATATAATACATACTAAAGAGGTAGGTAAAGGGAAAATAAGTTTCCCAGCCGGGACTCGAATTCGGAATCCCAGTGTAGGAGACGGATGTTCTAGCGGTTAGGCCACTGTGCCGCAAAGGGTATACAGAATGGATTTCATGGATTTCATGGATTTCAGATGGAATTTTTATCAATTTTTAACTTTTTAACTTTTAAAATTTTGTTTCAGCCAGAACCACCTCCCAGATGTGCTGATTCTGAAAATATCTTTAGTTTTCTTCTAGGCTGCGGAGTTCTCTAGTTATGCGAGTACGGACTAATTCGGCTGAACAACTTTATATATATAGATTTTCCTCTAGGCTGCGGAGTTCTCTAGTTATGCGAGTACGGACTAATTCGGCTGAACAACTTTATATATATAGACATCACTATTCTGTATGGAATGATAAACAACAGTGTGGGTGCACAATGCTTGGAATGCAATCATATTGTTTCCATTATCATATTGAAATTGCTTGTTTGAATACAGGGGCAAGTGACGAGTGATGGTGAACCTATCAGATCTGTCACATTTCTTTTGTTCTCTGATGTCATATCGAGTAAGGTAGGGTGAAAGATAAATATTTCTGAATTCGTGTGTATAAAATGTGCATGCCTAGAAAAATTCATTCATGTTTAGGATATTGTCAATTAAATAAGCTAGCAATTTCTTCTATAGCTTCCATCTATTCATATATTTATCCATATCAGGGGTGAATGAGCTACTAAACTTAATAGATCAAGATCTGTGACCTCGTAGATCGTTTACTCCTAATTCATATGCATTTCGAGTATCTGATCAGTTTTAGATGTATGATGTACTACGTATAGTCTATATATCATTATGGTTGTGGTATCGAATTTTGGTGCTTGATAAAAAAATGCCTGTAGTAGGCTATTTGCAGAGCTGTTATGTGGAGGTCGTGGACTATGTTTTTTCTTATACTAAACTTTTGAAATCAGCCTGCTATGAATTCTTCACACTGATGTTACCAGACATCATTCTTTTGATTTCCTATGCAATGTAGAAAGTGCTGCAGTTTACCACTGCCTTATGGCCGCAATATGCGCATCTAAACGCTAATTTCTCTAGTACTAGACTAGCAAATACTTCGTGTCATGCATTATCACACTACCTTATGACAAAATAAACTCTAGTTCCTTCCATTTCACTGCGCGTTTGCTTAAAACCCACAAGAAAGAGGTGCGAAATCTGGCAATCTGGCGCCAACGCCGAATTGTTTGCCAAACAATTTAGCTCCGAATTGGTTAGGTGACGTCACATGTTGCTACGGGTTGCATTTGCTGTACGGTTGCGTGGCAGAGCAACACGAACGTGTCAACAACATCGGAGAATTTCAACAACATTGGAGGTATTTTCAAATACCTTTTATAAGACAACGCGCAGTGAAATGGGAGGAACCAGAGTTTATTTTGTCATAAGGTAGTATGATTATGCATGACACGAAGTATTTGCTCGTCTAGTACTGGAGAAATTAGCGTTTGGATGCGCATATTGCGGCTTCAATATTGTTACCAATTCCTGTATATCTGCTGTGTATTCATTGCTATCATTTACATAGACACAGAGGCAATTCCCACCTAGAATTCAGGGTAATTGGATAAAAATCAGAGACTGTTAAGATATGTAAAAACCTGGGGATTATGCTAAACATACTCTGTTGTATACAAGTAGTGCAACTTAGATGAATAATACATTCAGAAGATTCATGAATTGATGATATATATTTATAACTCAGGAAGCGTGCTCCTTCCAGTTCAGCTATAGTAAAAGGCATCTTGCGTGTAATAGATTGACGTGTCTATGGGAAATCGTAGAGCTTTTATCATGGCACATGACCTCGCTAAGCCTTACTATAGTCTCATGTTGATTGTCTGACAGCAGGAGGTACAGGGATGTGACAAATCGCCAGTGCATGAGTATGACATGTCAGGTGTTGCCAGCCATTACCTGTGCTTTGTCACCTCGGGCGACGACGGCAGGTTTGTGTTCCCAACGCTTCAACCTGGCTCCTACACGCTGCTGCCATACTACAGGGGCGAGCACATTGTGTTTGACGTCGTTCCAGCGAAGCTTGCTTTCACGGTCGAGCATAGCAGTCTCGTACTGAGCGTAAGTATCCATGTGTCAGATATACCTATCCCTGTACAGGACGTGAAATTTTTTTTCCCACTTGAGTTCCGGACCCACCATAGATAGTGTTTTGTAATAAATGGTTCTTATATATATGGTTGGATTATAGTTAGTGTTAGGGTTCGTGTACGTGTTAGGGTTAGGGATAGAGGGTATTCATTTTACATTGTTGCTTCGAGGAAGTCGAGTGAATGGAGTGCGCTGATTGGCTGTGGTCCGGAACTCAAGTGGGGAAAAAAATTTTGCGTACAGGACTGGCTGGTGTCATGTCTCACACCATCACGTGTGTCAGGAGCACCATTGTGCCACATGCACTGACTGTTCCATGAAAGTTTATCAAGTTCAGTTCATACTATTAGATAACTTTTTAATGAGCAAATAAAATAACTAATATTGTACAAAATTATGATATTGTTGGTAGTTTCTAAAGTGAAAATGCTATAGAGCAAACTGTTAAATAAAAGTAATGTTCTGCATGATTGCAAGCTATTGTGTGCCTAAAATGTATAAAAACTGCACATTTATTACGTAAAACCTTTGAACTAGAAACAATTGAACTGTTATACACAACTCCATCTATGAAAATGACCGTTAAATAATGGACTCATCAAATGGCCAGATCAAAAAATACTTGCGTATTTGGAATAAATTATGGTTATAAAATTAGGGTACCATTGCTACCTGTAATCTTACATTATTATTAGAAATTAATTTGAATCTTGCCTCTGAATTGACATTTGCAGGATATCTTTCAAGTTCAAGGGTTCTCTGTTAGTGGGAAGGTTGTAGCATCAAAATCGGTAAGTTTTCATTGTTAATAAAATATAGCAATCAACACACAGTATCACATCAAAGTTGTAACAGAGATGTACAGAGTGAAAATGTAAAGCGGAGACAAGAGTACTGAAATTGAAAATTTATCGTGATTTGCTAGTTGTAACGATGATGTTAGAAGATGAACATGTTACATGCGCTTGTTACCAATTGTTTACACTGTCTCATATATAGGGTCCTGGTGTAGAAGGTGCAGCAATTTCCATCAATGGCAAGCAGCAAGCTTTGACGAACAAAGATGGCATCTATCATCTTGACAGCATGAGAACTGGAACCTACACATTTGCGGTACAATAAATAATTCATTAATCACTTTATTCTCAATACTCATTAGGTTTATTACTATTGAAATTCCTATTTGGGAGTGGAAAGCCACACTCACAAGCTTTCATATAGTAGTTTTACGGCAGATATTAATCGACTTCTCTGGTTGGCATTTTATTTGCTATTAGTTTGATCGGACGATGATGTTATAATCAGAATTGTGTCATCTTATTGACCCTGTTTTTCTGCAGGTTACAAAGCAGCATATATTGTTTAAGCCAGTCACAGTTAGAATCACGCCAAACACTCCAAGGCTACCTGACGTCGTTGCTGCAAAGTAAGCTTTAGAACAATATTGGACTACATATACATAGTGAATCGGTTCTGTAGTAACTACATTATTTGCCACCTCTATGAGCCTGCTTATTCTATTGGGGTATGTCAAGCATTTTATGCTATCCCAAGCTAGCTGCTAACCAATGTATGAGTGTGTAAATTATTGTAATGTGGTCTCTTAACTGGATTAATTATAGATGCATGGATTCCTTTGAAGATATTTACACCTTAAATTTTGTTATCATTACTTCATCAAATAACGTGTTAGATGGTTTAAGCAGTGCTGAGTGTAATTTTCTCATTTTCCTCTAGCTTCAGTGTATGTGGCACTGTGGCAATAACAGCATTGCCAGAGGGTTTGCCTGCTGTTCCAAGGAGAAAACTCATCCTTACCCATGTAGATATTAAAAGCGACATGGTATCGATAACAACGGATGCAGGTGGAAAATTCTGCACACAGTTACCACCAGGAAAATACACGTTGAAGGTATTGTCTGAAACTTTTGATAGATTGTCTGAACTGAAGTTTCTCGATTAGCAATCATTTTAAATTTTGTGTCTGTGGCTTCTATAGGAAATCACTACTTGATACTGAAACTATAATTGATAACAAACTCAAGATTCTGTAGAAGAGTACAACTGAATTAGCTGGTGTGGTTACTATGGTTACAGGTTGCGATCACAAGCGATGAGTTAAAGGCAGGGCTTTCACTGACCCCAACGGAACATTCACTGAGCGTGATCGATGCTCCCATACTTGATATTGACTTCCATCAGTTCAAGGCTACTGTGTCTGGAAGCCTGCACTGCATGGGTAGGTTCCGTGTAGAGTGAATGCTAGCTGATGATGTTAACTAAGGAGATGGCATGCAATGCTGCCATTCACTTGCTTCATCCCTGTCTTGCGTGCTCAATACATGACGTGTGATATTTTAACCATAAATAGATTTGGTGAGTATACCAAAATGAAGGTGTTAACCATAGTAACAGTTGCTTCCTTCTACAGAAAAGTGCCAGCCAATGCAAGTGTCAATAGTGCAACAGGGTAAGGTAGATGAGGAACCCATTGCTGCACTTGATGTTGGTGGCAGCAGAACAGATTTTAAGTTTGATGATGTCTTGCCAGGAAAGTACACAGGTAAGGAGGACATCTCATTTGGTACTATTATCATCAATCGTAAATGTGAAGTGTGTTGACATTTGTCTTCTGTATTGCATCTTATCAATGCATGCACCTATATGGATTAGTAAGTGCTCAAATGAATATGTCACTGTTTAGTTATTGGGAGTGGGATCTCACCAACCACGCGCAACCAGCAGGTATTCAAACTATGACTCATTGCCTTGTGTGTAGTGGTGTTGCTACATGACAACTGGTGCTGGAAGAAAAAACGTATTGATGTGGAAGTGCTCGACAAAGACGTCATTGACGTCAAGTTTCAGCATACCGGCTATATCATATCTTGTACATCATCTCATCCTCTGCAACTGGTAAGTTACTCTTTCACCATCTTCCTCTTGCTTCCCTCACCCCTGACCCTCACCACTTCTCTTTTTCTCTCAACTTCTTCTCCTCCTCTCTCATTCTTTCAAATGATGTTACTATTAAAAGCATGGATCTGTATAATCATGGTAAACATTTTTAGTGATTATATATCATGGACGATATATAGTTACTGTGTAGATAGCCATCATAACACAATTTGAATAGTTCTGCCTCTTGCAATAATCTCTTACTATGAAATTTTCTGGAATATGTGCTCAAATATCAAGCTGCCTAGATGATGCTTACATGATCTTTGGAAAGCCCAATGCAAATAATCCAAAACTTCATTATAATTTGTTACACCAATTTTTGAATTGGCATTTGCATGTTTTCTTGACAGGGCTATAGCCAAGCAGGGAAATCTGGTGAAACGATCAATGTGGTTAAGGGTATCAACAAATTCTGTTTACCACAGCCAGGTAAGCTAGCAAGCATAGGGGTTGAATTACTCTATAATGCCTTGCCTGCTGTTCATTCCTTTACCTTACTCGATTGTTATCTTACTGACATATGTATGATATATATAGTGCATGTCTATGAATATACCATGTGCACAAAATTTGTTGTGTAGTTGGCATGTTTATTAAACAATAATTCGTCTAAGAGTGGTTTTAGAAGCTTTGACAATGACAGTGACAGTGACATGACAGTGTAGGTGTTTTAACTAGGCTTTCTTATTTAGGCATCTACACTCTGCTGCCTAGTTCCTGTCACGAGTTTGAGCAGGCTTCCTACAAGTTTGACACAACAGCACCCAGCATCATTGTGCTGAATGCTGTGCGCCACCTGGTGTCGGGATTCATCAATACTGATTACAACACGACATCGATACAAGTGAACGTTCGGACAACACTTAGCTCCTCAGCGCCTCATCTTAAAGCGCCGAGGAAAGGTTCAGGAGAGTTCCACTTCTCCTACATGGGCAGGTAGGATTGAGCATGTGCAATGCAGTGCTACTATCAGGGTCAGTATCCCATAATCTATACATAAATGTGTTTAGGTACCTACATAGAACCTACTATTTGCGTATATGAGTGGCCGTTTTGGTTCAAGGATAGAGAACATGGGTCCCAATAAAACTAATGTCATTTACATCAATATAAATATGATATTATATCAATATAATTGGTTATGGTTATGGTTATGGTTAGGGTTAGGGTTAGGATTAGGGTTTAGGTTAGGGTTAGGGTTAGGGTTAGGCACATTGGTTTTATTGGGACCCATGTTCTCTATCCTTGGGCCGTTAGGGCCAGGGTTAGAATTAGGGTTAGGGTTAGGCACATTGGTTTTATTGGGACCCATGTTCTCTATCCTTGGGCCGACGTTTTTAGCAGCTACGTTGCTGCCATCGTGCATGCAACCTATCAGGAGTAGATAATAGGGAGGAGTGTGACATCAATAAACAAGGGAAATTCGTCATTTACTAGCCTTATAATACCTACGATTTACTACACGTAACTCATCCAACTTGAGCTCAAATCGGACACAGTACATTCGCCAATCATCGTGCGAAATCGTTTCCTCGTAGACACCCGCAATCCGGAGATACAGCCTAAAACGTACGACACGATTCTCCATTCTCTGGCCATCAATCCAACGCCATTGCGCGCCTATAATTCAAACAAAAGGCAGCTACCTAACGCGCTATTGCTAACTGAGCGAGGCATGTGGCTCGCTGGGAGATTAGGCATGAACACTCGGCGAGATAACCTTTGACCCGGTATACAGCTACACAGGCCACCTTTGTACATAGCTGGCATGCCTTCACGCACGCACGCCAACCGCATGATTAGCTCGTCGAGTGTTGCGTCGATCTCCAATCTCCCTGCGAGCCACAACGCCACATTCAGCTATCCGAGAGAGCAAACACAGCGACTGCGCGGCAGTGTTGCTGCCTTTTGTCTGAATTATAGGCGCCCAATGGCGTTGGATTGATGGCCAGAGATTGGAGAATCGTGTCGTACGTTTTAGGCTATATCTCCGGATTGCGGGTGTCTACGAGGAAACGATTTCGCACGATGATTGGCGAATGTACTGTGTCCGATTTGAGCTCAAGTTGGATGAGTTACGTGTAGTAAATCGTAGGTATTATAAGGCTAGTAAATGACGAATTTCCCTTGTTTATTGATGTCACACTCCTCCCTATTATCTACTCCTGAACCTATTTATTTCACCGTGTGTGTGTTATAAGGTTGTGAAATTATAGGTAACTCCCAATTTACATTATTTTACATGTGTTTTTAGAGTAGTTTTCATTGATACTTTTTAAGGATTTATGCAGTCTTGCATTAAGAATAGTGTGAGTAGCAACAAGTGCTATCGATAGAACATCATTAGCACAAAACAATAACAACAACAATAAAAAATCACAGCAGTGTTTTACAGTTCAACAATTAATTTGCTTAATTATAATGCATCGGTTTTTGAAATTTCTGTATCAGTAATAAGTATTCAATTTCTTTTTTTATTTAATTGTTGCAATTATTATTACATTGAAGCCATTAAAATAATTTGAAGAAATTTCAGTGTGTTACAAAAAATGTACTGTATGTCATTTATACGAGGTGCAGAAAACAAAAATGTTACTGACACTGAAGGAAAATGAACTCTGGCCTTCGGGGCCATAGCCTAAGAAAGTTTGTGTAAAATGGGGTGGGGCAAATTTCGTTAATCAGGAATGAGGTGGGAATGTTTTTTTATGGGTTTAAGAATTATTCTATGAATGATGAGCTTAGAATGCATGGTAATCTTTTTGGTTGCATCTTTTTATCGTGTGCTGCAATCATAGTCATCATTGTTTCTTTGCGCAGAAATGGTGAGGAAGTCACATTCACACCCACGCATGGCCAACTGCTCTTCTACCCTCCCAGCCAACATGCAGTCATTCATTCAGAATGCTTGCAAAATAGTGTTAAGTTTAGAGCAGAACTAGGCATATTTCTGGATGGCTTCGTGACCCCAGCACTTGCTGGGGTTGCGGTGACGGTGACGTCAAATGAAGACCCGAACCTTAAAGTTACCATCGATACAGATACCAAAGGAAAATACAGGTAAGATGTGTTCAGAGAAACCAAAATATTTGCCAGTGCTTATGCCGTGATAGTATCACAACATTTATGTGTATTATATTTTATGTAGTGATATTGGTAACATGATATTAGATAGTATTAGGTCACAATTTATATATACAAAGTAATATAGCATAACAGCATGTTCTTGTTTCTGAAGTATCTTTTATTTATTAAAGGGAACAACTGTACTTACTGTATAACAAATCGTCTATACCCACACGTACTTGTTACCAGATACCTAATTTAATTGTTATAATTAATTATTCATCAACGCTACGAAATTTGAACGGCGCATTGACACCCGCTACCGTGCCGCCACCCTGGAAAAGTTGCGCATTTCCCAATATATTTTGCACGTTACAGACTGAGGACTAATCACAAAGGTGCAATTATATTTATACCTAAATGCTATTTAACCGAACGATGTTTATTTTAGGACAAATTTATCCATAATATAACTGAAACTATATGTCGTTTATAAGATATTACAATCCTTTTGCTTTTAAATTAATAAATAAGAAACACCCTCGGTCTGTAGCCCTTGGCTGAAAAGACGTTTTGCACAACTTTTCAGATCATGTGCTTTGAGTGGCGCCACCGTCGTTGTAATCAAACTGTAGTCGTTAGTTTTAAAACATTAAAAAAAAGTTTTTTCGAATGGCCCTGTCACACGCTGGCATACGCTGAACTATCGATGTTTTTTCCAATTTTGGGCGTATACATAGCGTATTCATAACGAGTTGGACGTATACATAGCGTATTCATAACGAGTTGGACGTATACTTAACGTATATAGAACGTTTCGATAACTTATAGATAACTTATACCAACGAATGCTTAGCGTGTTGCCGGCGTTCACAACTTATGCCCAACGATAGTCTAACTTAGTCCTAGCGATAAATCATAACGATTAGTCATAGCGCGCGGCAGCGTATCGCCGACGATCACGTGTTCGACCTCTTCTTCTCCTCTTCTTCTCCTGGCTCTATTGGCACGCAACTGGTACAGTGTCAAATCGATGAGGTCATGCTGATGTTGGAGAACAGCTAGTAGGTATTCTCGTCTCAGCCTTGCCGGATCCTCCATCTCTCGGATGACATGGACATCTGCTCACCATGGAGTCTTGAGGAGTACTGACGGGTTCCTCCTGTGAACCCCATTTTTATACATACCAATTCCCCTAAACGCTGCCAATATGCCATTATACGGTAGCTGTAAGTTAGAAACACGTTCAGTAAGTTCTGTGGTCGTCCGGAACACGTCAAATGCGTCTACATACGTCAATATGCGTTGGAGATAAGTTCGATATAAGTTACTCACAGGTTCAAAGCACGTTACTCATAGGTTAGAAATAAGTTTTGGGTACGCTAGACATTATCTCGACGTATTTCGACTTATGAGTAAATTACAAGTAACGTGTGTGAACGTGTGTCAACGATCGCATAACTTACCTACAACTTATGGCCCGCGTATGCGGGACGTATGAGCCATATGCTGGCATACGTCGAAAATTGTATGCACAAATTTTTTTGACGACTTCGCCGTACTACGACGTATACCAGCGTGCTTCAGTGTGCTTCAGCGTGCTCTTAACTTATACAAAACTTACCCATAACTTATTCGACGTACGCCAGCGTTTTAGAGAAATTTTGATACGTCGGCATACGCTGGCTAAATCGTCAAGGTGTGACAGGGCCATAATGGTGATTGAACCATGAAACTTTTTATGTAGCGTAATTTTAACCAAAATTAACTGAAAATAACCCTAGAACCTAGAATAAAGGATTTAATTAATAACCATTAAAGGATTAAAAACAACCCTTTAATTAATAACCATTCTTTAGTATCAAATCCTTACATAGCTGTCTTAATAGTTTTTAGCTCATCTGACATAGTCAGATGCAGCTTGTAGAATCGCATGAGCGTGCGTCCGTCCATGCGTCCGTGCGTGCGTGCGTCCGTCAACAGTTGGGCACAAATCTAAACGGCTCGATGTACGGGCACGATATTCGGGACGTGGGGGTGGGGGTAATCTGAAAACGAGTTGGGATGCCGAAGCTGGAGGTCAAAGGTCAATGTGGCACAGGGCAGATTTTAGACATTTTCTGAGGACATGGTCTGACGAAGCGATTGAAAAACTTTTTTGTTTCAGCGGTGACCTAGCATTTTTATGGCTTTATTGAAAGGACCATGAAATGTACTTTCTGCTGACATGCGAAGAGTAAGTGTCGGATAACTTTTTGACCCTCAAGAGGAGGGTTAAACATGGATTTGTTGACTGTTAACAAAGGACTGAACTGCTTTTGCTATTGTGGATGTGAGGCTACAGTTGCACAGTTCAATTGCAAAGGCAAATGTTTGCTGAACAAGGTTTACGCTCCTTAAATCATATTATTTTCTAAAGCAGTCTGTATTAGCACCCTGAGTAGCACCCTGTATTAGCACACTGTAATGAACCCTGAATGCTCGCGTGGGTAGGCAAAAACATGGGGGAAGCCCATTACGCATGCATGGGGGTGAACTGGCACTATTCTAATCATAATTATTGCCTGGCAACCTGCAATGCAGATGTGTTAACTCACAGCTGAGCGAAATTCTCGCCTGCCTGAATATACTTGGATTTCAGCAACTCAATGGAGTGAGGTTATCACGCACGAAGGGTGATGCCATCTTTGATTATTGATGACACTTACACGCGCCATCTCGCGGCAACTGCTTTTGCTATTAGAGCCCCCTCCACCCGCCCCCTCCCCCCACTCTTTCCCCACCACCACCACTACGCTCGCGCTCGACGCATATCCATGATAACATGTTAATATAGCGAAGTCATTAAAGTTACACAGCTGTATATTTATTACTGTACTACCGGTATAGCAATGCCTAGCTATCATAGATTTTAGATCTGTATTAGTAGTATCCTAGATATATGCTCTGAGCGCGAACGCGGTGATGGGAGGGTGCTCTTCATTCGTTTGCCAGTGAGTTTAGCATCAGAACACCTGCCATCAGGTGAGCGCTGTCGCTCTGCGGCACTTGTTTTTTGTTATTGTTGGTAGATAAAGTCAAGTGTGGAATTCCATTGTTTGTTGCATAGGGTGGGACCACTTCATAAGGATGCAGCATATATCATACAAGCCCACAAGCCTGGTTATATCATCACAGAAATAGAGAATAACTCTGGTAACTTCAAAGCCTTCAAGTTGGCACAGATCGTTATCAAGGTAGTAGACGAATCCAATGTCCCTCTACAGGGAGTGCTGCTGTCACTCAGTGGTGGGAAATTCAGGAGCAACCGAGTCACAATGGAGTAAGAACTATTTAGCAAATTTTAACATAAAGCCTAGCGTATGTTAGGTGTGCGATTAAATGCAACTGTGAACAATTGGGTTTTTGGCATCTGGGAGAATGCAGAAGCAACTATGAGCACAAAATAGGATGCCAGTTTTTTGACCTGTGGCCTTGGAAAATAAAAAATATCCCAGGTTAAATAGTAGAACATATTCTGTGATTGAGCTATCTATGTGTGCAATTAGCTGGTTGTCACTGTTAGTAGATTATTGTTAGTATTTCATTTTTATGTCGTTCAATTGAACACAATTTCATTTATTTCCTTGTCGCTGGTAAAGTTTTGACATAGCACTCTGTAAAACCAGTTGCAGATAGTTGAGTTACTTCCAGCCACTTGCCCAACATATGCTTAGGTTTAGGCCTGTGGCATTGGGAAATTTACACCTGTACAATTTGTGTAATGTATATTTATCTGCTATTTATCACAATTTTTATTTTGTCTGATCATTTTTATTTTTTATTTAGATCTTACTTTATTAGTACTTACATATATTGTCACCAGATTAATTGGACGTAACAAACGACGTTTATAATTTGTAGAACATTCCGTGTATATTTTTATCTACAATAATATAGCGCACAAGAAAGCATATTTAACAGTTAACAAGTATACTATAGGAAGAATATCATCTATTTTGTCTATGTTTTAGGAATGGGACATTGCTGTTTAGTGGACTCTCCCCAGGCCAGTACTTCCTCAGGCCTGTTATGAAAGAATACAGTTTTGAACCACCGTCCCAAATGATAGAAGTTGCAGAAGGGTCAAATGTCGACTTGAAAGTTCTAGCCGTGCGAATTGCTTTTAGGTCTGTTCAGCACATTATTATAAATTTAGCATGTCGTGTCATTTTTTACCTACAATTATGAATTTGATTTCTGCAAAATTGTGAGTGATGGTTACGTATTTTGCAATCTGGTGCAATGCTGTAACGATGTCAGGTACATCTTGCACTAAAAACACTGTAGAAGAAATCCTTACTTTAGGTTTTATATATTAGAGTGGTTCTATCAAATATGGTTTTGATAGTCTATTAGATTATACAATAGAATTACAGAACTAACTGCAATCAAGTAATACTTTAAAAAAACATACCATAGTTGTATAAAACGAGAGCCGTTTTGTTTTCAGTTGCTATGGATATGTCTTGTCTCTAAGTGGAGAGGCGGAAGCAAACATTTTCGTAGAAGCTGTTGGTACAGGTGACTGTAAGCAGTACCAAGAGGAATGCACAAGTGAGGCCAACGGAGGTTACAGGATTAGAGGCCTTATGGTAAGCGGCGGCAAACGGACAAAAATGTCTGTACCCAACTAAATTAGAAGGGTATCTAAAGTATTTCCAGCTATACTCGCCTAATTAAAATAATTGTAAAGGTTCTTAGCAATCCTCTTAAGTATTCAGACTGCTAGTATGTTTTATTCTCCTCATTAATTTCCCCTTTATTATTGATATCTATATCAAGATCTATATGCTACAGTTCTGTCCAATGGATCATTATAGAAATAATGTAAGATATAAAACCAAATGCAGAGCAATTTAAATTTAGTTAAAATTATCAGTAACAGAAGAGAAATATGTTATCAGTTACCATGATGGCTTTAGTTAGTTTTTGCCCTTGTGCAGTATCACAGCTGTTTAGTCTGTTGGCTTAGCACATAAACTTTTGTTTCGCAGCCACAATGCATCTACCACTTGCGTATCAAGTCTGGTGAAAATGTGAACACGCATATTCATCGGTCAACTCCAGCATTCCGCGAAGTGCGTGCAGTCAAGACTGATCTACATGATGTTAACCTGATTGTGTTCCGACCCCTTACCCAAATGGATGTGACAGTGCACGTCATTGCTGCCCAGGAGTACTGGCAAGGTCTTAAGGTCTGCTGTTGGAATCGATTGCATCTCAGTTTTGTTTGATAGTCATCCAAAAGGTCGCAGAAATGTCTGCTAACGTCCCTACACAGTTCTCATCTCTGACGAGTTCAAGCAATTGACTATGAAGTTTGATAAAGACAACAAAGCAGTTGTTGAAACTAACACATTGGTAATTTTGGATTCATCTCAAAATGAAATTGTCTACTAGCGGATAGTAAATGTATAATAATGACAAAACATGTTTTCTTGTTTAGGTGAAGCTGTACAAGGATTCAGATCCTGACAACCCAGTTTATAGCACACAGTTGGTATCGACAAATTTCATCTATCTACCCACACTGCCTATAGACAATACAGTAAGTCATATCCTGGCTGTAGCTGCAGTGATATTGCAATATACGGCATGACAGAATGACTCACCACACCCTAACACAGTGGAATTCACTAATACCCCTGTGCAGACTTGTGGTGCGAGCTACCGTAGCCGATCGCAGTATTATTAAGCTTCCTTCTCCCCTTGTTAGCTACTGTCTTTCATGATGCTGCAGTTTTGTCAAAGGTTGAAACCACTAAGGTGTCGCATCATGATCTGATTTTGTGAGGCATGTATCTTTTCAGGTGTATACAGTGCGGCTCGTGAGTGACTTGGCAAAGAATATGAACGAGTATCAGCTACCTGAAGAGACCTTCACGGCCAGTGAAGCCCTTGCACACATTGCTTTACCATTCAATCCTAAGGTATGGAAAATAGTCATCATAAATGTGTGAAAATACAGTCACCATATCAGGAGGAAGCTCAAGTCTTGATGTTTGTAGTGCACCTGTGAAATTGAAATAATCTCTTGTTGTTTACTAATGACAGTGTATACATAGTGATTAATAAACGATTATATTGATTCTCTTACTTAAGTCGTTTCGTTGGTTCTCTATATCTGCTTACATGAAGGTTTTCAATTTGGTTATAGCCGAAGAAAGTGGAACAAGATGTGGCAGCACATGGAAACTACATGGCCTTGTTAGTGACAATAATGCTGTGTGTTGTTGGCTTTAATTACACAAAGGTATGCTGGTGATTATATATGCTGACAATACATCAATGATTATTGTCTAAAAACACACAAAAATATCTGTTCTCAATTCAGTTTTACCATTTGTTTTTATTTTCTATGATTTTGCATTTATTGTTGCAATACTCTTAATTGCAGCTGTTACCAGCATTTTCACAGCTTGGAACATCTGCCAGAGGTCTCATGAACCCAGCAGCTACCTCTAGTGAAGTCATTTTCCAGCCCACAGCAGAGCCCACGACAATGCAGCCACCGAGCAAGAGAAAAATCCGGAAAGCGTAACTATTATTTGGCAGCTTTCTTTTACTCTAGTAAGAAACCATAGTAGTGTGTGTGTGTACAATGAACGTTACAGTTATATGTGTGTGATAGCCCCAGCTGTTTGCTAGCTCCATATACCTACTCAATGTGTTTAATTGGAATGTATTCAGTGTAGAACTTGATGGCACCAATGATCAGTTGCATGCACATAGTGCATAACCAATAAAATATATCTACCTGGAGAAAATTTTATTCGGTGGTTCCTTTCCGAGTCTGGTATAATTGGTATTGTATGAGGACTTGTGGGGTTATACTGCTATCAGCAATTGTTGTTGAGGAAGGCTGTTGTTGAGGTGCTACACGCGCTGCTAAACGTCATATATACTTGTACGATCATGTACAGCAACCTTTACAGTGATGTGCTGATAGATTGATGCCAGCTGTCATATCTGAATAACTTTCTATTGCATTTTTCATGCATTGATATTGCTCACAGAATGTTCATAATTATGAAAAGAAGCATGTATTCCTATGCTGAACTGAGTGTAAGTATGGTTTTGCAGGTTAGGTGCAGTACCCGTATGTTAATTCTATAAGTGTTATTCCACTGTAAGTGTATGGTGAATTAAGATTAGGTTTAAGATGTCAATACGATTTGACAACTGTTACCTATGGTAATATTAATGCACATACAAAGATACACCTTGTTTTTCTCGTTGTAAAGTGATACTTCTAAAATAAAATGTAATCATTTGTTGTTTCTAAACATGTCTATGATGCTCTCTGTAGAATATTATGTTACATCACAATTTAGTTGATAGGCAGCAGGACAAGAAATTAACACAAAAAATCATGCGTGGTTCTGGTTGTGATGCAGTATTTTTCTGCGAAAATGCGTAGCTATAATATTATTAGTACCGATTCAGGGGGGATGCCACAAACCAACGTGTGCCGTCTGTCGATGTAGATTTACATGGATTGTATTGTAAAAGAAAAACTAGATGAACAACCCCTAGGTTTATATGTCCATTGACAACCAGGAATAGAAGTGAAAACATTACTGTGATTAGACTGAAAAACTCGTGCAGTTTTGCTATACACTGATGATTCTTGGGGGTGCTTGCCTTATGGTTCAAATAACACTTCGTAGTTTTTTCGTCAATTTATAGTGTAATTACGTGCTATATTGTCGTTTAAGACGGGCCACCCTATGTCTTATTTGGTGGCTAAATTCCAGCATGTATAGCCTGAATAATTACCAAGTAAAAAATGAAATCTTCATACTCAGCAGCATTTTATAATTGGTTGGGAAAATTACAGCAAGCAATAAATAACTGTCGTGTATATAGTTGGAGGCATGATAATGAACTCCCTGTTTAGCTTACAGCACATGAACATGATACTAGATTTTAGAACAGTTATATCTTCAGCCATTGATTATAATTTACGAATATCCATATACAATACTTACTATAACATTGTATGCTCCAGACGTACAACATAAACAAACTTACTATACACAAAAACGTCATCGCAAAATAAGCACATTTTAAATTACAGTGAAGGCTAAAGGGTTTGGTTCTTCATAAAAATATAATCCTGACGTTACAACCGAAAACAAACGCATGATAATAGCACGCAAACAGCTTGTCCACTCTTACCACGTGCAGTGGAACAAATTATCACAAAGCACTAATTAATATCATTCTGCATGAGAGATAATTACTTCACGAATTAATTATAATGAACTACTCTGAGGGTAGACGAGGAAGATCATCATCCTTTCTACCACTAAAACTAAAATCATCACTAAAAATGTACAAAAAATATATCTTTCGGTATTAGCATTATCATCGAACTCAGGACTAATGAATGTTAAGCCAGCATTTTCATTAATTTTAGATGCTGACAGATAATAAATAGATTTCGTTGCAAAATCATTAATATGGTGGGCAGCAGTACACCATGTGTATGGCGACGGCAAATACAAACTACTAAATAACAAAGTATTGTACACGCGAGAGAACACGACGTCAGCCCACAAATGCCCGAATTGTGTTGACACTGCCTATAATTGCTGAAAATACTTAGTTAAATACAGTGGTACTGCATGAATCGTGATTTAATGTTGCGCCACCGACATGGAATTATTAAACTGCATTTAACGACAATATACAGCAGATATATTATACTAAATAGGAATTAATTACATGCAGAATGTCAGCAAACTATTACATATTAATAAGGTAATATGACTTGCACTTATGGGGAATTTTTTTTACACATTTTCAGCTGAGAACTAATATATATATATATATATATATATATATATATATATATGTCCATATTTGCATTCCTACGTTTGGATAGGATTAACTCTCCAAAGGAGGGTCTGGTTACGATAGGTTGCCACATGTACTGTCTTCAGCTTACTCGGCCAGTTAATTCTGTTACACTGCCAGAATAACTACACTTATGTAGAATAGGGACGATAGAAGAATATAGAGTAGAATCAGAGAAGCACGCTTCAGTAAATATGGCAAATATATACAACAATGCAGTAAATTGACATGCACATTATTCCATTTGTTTGCATCAAATTAGGAGCAACACTAGCGAAAATATGCATAGGGCAGAAATCCTGACCATTTAATCCACGGGAAAGTCCTGCTGATATAACACTGAGATTTTAAGTGTGATGTCCTGCAATATTAAATGCGTGATGGATACATTACCACGGCAGCGAATATAACATTCATGGGCCAGTTAGAACACACCTACTTACTAACGAACATCCAGCACACCTGGCGCTGCTATATAAGTAGCTGCAGGCAGGGAGGCTGTATGTCTATCGTACTTCCGATACAGGCCAACTATCACACAGTCTCACCTTGTTTATAGTTGTGAAAATTTTGTGACATTTGGGAATACGTACCCGCGTCTATGTATCATCGAAAAACGATTAATAAAGAAGGCATCATTATAGATAACAACTGTCTTCCTATACTTGGCAAGTATGTTTGTGGTGTGCCCACAGCTGGCCATGGACGAACTGAAGAGAAATTGGAGTAGCTATAAGAGATTTCATCACAAATCAGTTAACACATATTATTCCAGGTTGATACGAGACTTGCATCCTATTTCTCATCAACTTTGTCTGTTATAAGAATCTGCTCAAGAAGTTCATAGACAGGTTCAAATGCTTTCCAGTAGCCAATTTTTGTAAGGTGTAGGTAGTCATACATGTCATGGTGATTGATAGTTCCATCAGACTGCACGAATCTAAAATCAAATGAAAAACAATGACGTGATGCACGTACGAGGAAATACAAGAAACGTATCATGTGCCTGCTAATTGTATAAACAAAAAGTATTACCTAGGCAACAGACCAATGCGTAGGAAAATGAGAACCGAACATAGGAAGATGGAATACAATTAGGAATATTAAAATATACATACATTTTAGTGACATAGTTATCTATGTAACACACTAACGGAGTATTACCTGGCAGCTTTGTCTATGTCAAACAGCTGAGCTTTTGGAAAATTAGGAACCACCCCATGAAGTAGAGAATTAATTTGAGCATTCTTTTCTCTAACTGGATTCGGCTTGTGTCCTCGTGGAGGAATGGTCTGCAACACACCAGAAATTATAGATTGAATTGAATAACTTGTGTACATGCAATATAAACATAAATAATTTACCATTTTACATTACCAATTTCGACAAAATTTGCCAATGTTAACAAAGATTGAATAGGATAAATTTGATCTTAGCATCGGGTAGTTGAGCACGGGGCTAATGTACTGATAACGCGACAATGACACGGACTTATTTAGAAGTGAGTACACAATTATTGTATTGCTTTGAACAGGACAAGATAATGATTGGCTGTTGGGTTCTTACGCTTGTGTATCCAAGGCTGACATACCAAGTATTAGAGGTTGACAAAGGGAGAAAGAAAGACTCCAAGACTGTGAGACCGCGAGATAGAGAGAGAGAGAGAGGAGCAGAGGGGAAGAGGAAGAGCAATAGGGAGAGAGGGAGAGAGAGACTCCAATGAATGGAAGCTCCGCTACGTCTACTGCTATCCCATAATGAAATTATGCATAATTTTCTGTGAATCAAGTTCCATCACATATCGTTTATACGCCTGATACATTACATTTTAAGGCGGTGACATATTCTGTGCAACATACATCATTGCCCTCCGCTATGTCTACTACTATCCCATAATGAAATTATGCATAATTGTCTGTGAATCAAGTTCTATCACATATCGTTTATACGCCTGATACATTACATTTTGAGGCGGTGACATATTCTGTGCAACATACATCATTGCACATGGCACTGTATTCTTTTTGGAGCAAGATGCAAGTGCCATTTATGCTGGTTTAAAGTAACTGATTATGCCAGCAAGATACTCTGCTTATGAACTGTATGACCACTGATGCTGCAGCTGCAGCACTAGCAGAACAAGGACTTTCATGTTTTCAAGAAAAGACTGGTGCGGCAAAGGCTATACAATGTATTGAATTCAAACGAACTCAACATATATACAATGAGAACCAACTTAAACATCGGTACCAACTTAACAATCTCTAGCACTCACTAGAATGATGATCGCAGCCTGGGGCTGTTTCTCTGAGATTAGCCTTAGAATGGCTTCCAAACCTGCGACCACTTGCTCAGGTGTGTGGCCATGATTGTTAGTACCACACAAGAGAATGATCACCTAACAAGAAAAAGAATTACAAGTTGATAAAAATAGGTTTCACGTACTACTACTAGCCAATATGGTTTACTTGTGCCATTTTGGGATGGAAATGAAAACCTGATCAACTAAGTTCAACACATGCAATACGTATGTGATCATTGATAAATTACAAAACAATTAAACCATTGTTTGGTTTGGCAACTGCATTGCATAATGATGAACGGAGCAGTCCCTTGTATATTGGAACAGTAAATGTGTTTTGAATTTACCTTTGGGGGTGTTGTGAAGTCTAACTCGCCATTCTCTAGCCTCCACAGAACATTTTGCGTTGTATCACCACCAATGCCAAAATTTAGGCAATGAAACTGTGAAATCTTTTTTTCCCATATCTGCAACATAAAGGTTAAATAACAGCACATTACAATCGATAACGTTTTTATATACCCTACACAGCAATGCGCAAAACTAGTAATTATCAGGTTAAATTTTATAGTTTTATAGTATGCAATTCACACATGATTATTGGCTACAACGTTAAATTTACAAACCTCGGATTGCTCCAAACTTTGAATGAGAGAATCGCCAATAAAGACGACTTCAGGCTCCTTGTCATTTGCCTCTCCTACATACCGCTGGTGCTAAAAAAACATCACCGAGCATGATCAAATACTCACAATCAAATGAAACCTGTTCTAACTACATGGGTATAGATATATATTGGTCGAGCATTTCTTGGTCAAAACCTTTAGGGGTAAATTTTTTTTCAGATTCCAGGATTTTTAGGGGTTAGGAAAAACTGTATACTGTATGATGTGGTACCTCAGTGGTGGGACCCAAACTAAGCACAAAATTTCTGCAATGATGCATTACTAGACATTAGTTGGCACTAGTGTCGTGTGCTGGAAACAATTTTACTGTAGACTAGCGTAGTGAAGCCTGTGACTGTGTGGTAACATCCAAGTTGCAGGGGTAGAATTTAGGTTTTGAAACCACTCGCAATGTTTTGCGAGTGGGTCAAATTTCTACTCGCAAAATCCGAAACACTCTCGCATTTTTAATATAATTATTTTTGTAGTGTATAATATGCTAACACTTTCATTAAAAATGTTATCTTTTTAGTTACTTTATAAATGTTATATAATGTTGAAATGACTTTATTAAACCAGGCTACAAAGCGTGAAGATAGAATAGCGGCTGTGGCAAGGTTCATGGTAGCGGCTGATCGCGCGAGGTTTATAATCCTTACTCAGTTTGTAGACAGTACGTGTTTATAATTTTGCAGAAATTAGTTTGTCTAATTCCATTATAACTTATGTTGACAACATGTTACTTTTAAAATGCCTGGATATGGGATGTTGGATTTTGATAGTCATCACAACAGATTATATGTCACTCGCACAAAAATGCAAGTGCTTATATTTTCTACTCGCAATTTCGGAAATCCACTCGCATTTTGCGAGTGTGCTAGCATTAATTTCGAACCCTGCAGTTGCCCTACTCCCATTTCGTCTACTATCAAAATGGGTAATATTCCCATTTTGCCTACTCCCATTTCGTCTACTCGCAGAATAGGTAATGTGGTGCACATGTAGGTGGGACACCATGAGACTAACTACTCAAAGGTGTGAGTGACTTAATACGATGACACTTGTTAAGAGGTAGGCCTATGATATCATGCCTTTCATGTGACGTGACTCTAGGACAATAACTAGTCGGTAACCAACTAGTTAAAGGTGTGAATGGCTTAACGGTAAACTGGCTTAACACAAAGCCAACAATACTGGGAGAAATTAGTGTCGATGCCACTATACAAGAAATATTGTGTGGATGCCACTCAAAAGTAATATTTGACATCATATATATTAGGGCTGTAACGATACACAAGCCTCTCGATTCGACCCGGTTCTCGATATTAGCCTCTCGATTCGATTCCCAAAATATTGAAATGTTATTTTATTTTTTATATTTTCATTATTTTGCAATAATAAATTATTAGAAATTGCCAATGAATACTAAATGGTGAATAGACTAGAGAGTCTAGAGAGTATATATACACTGCACAGCCGCTGAGTAACATTGCCATTGGTGAGTAACACCAGAGCACTGGTAACACGCCACAGTATATAGCGTAGTGCCGCCATCTATTGGAGGAAAAAAGTAGTATCGAAGTGGAATCGAAAATACGGGGAAAAATATCAAGGATCGGATCGAGGGATGAGAATCGCAATCCGATTCGATTTTGGTAGATCGTTACAGCCCTAATATATATGTCTATTTATTAAACAATTTGAGAGTAGACTATATTAGAATTTGGTACATTTTCATGCTACCGTATTTCCTATTTTTGTCAAGTTGACAAGTTGTCTTTTGGTTCCTGTAGCCTATGTATGCCAATCAAAACCATATTTTACATTTAAAAATGACTATATAGTGAACAAATTAATAGTAGACAAAATGGGAATGGGGTAGATTTTTAGTGTAGACAAATTTGGAGTAGGCGAAAAGGGTGTAGACCAACTGGGGATTTTGCTATAAACGAAATGGTAATTTCGCAGTAGGCGAAATGGGAGTAGGCCAACCGAGCTTAAACCGACTGTGTCACTCAGGGTGTCAAAAATTGTAAAACTAAGTATACGTAATTGGCTCTAATTTCGAACATGATACGCCATGGGAAATAGGTTATGAGTAGGAAAAGTGACATTGTCAACATTTTAACTAACAATAACATTACACTACAGGCACAACACCGCCACTCAGAAACTGAGAAAGTAACACCACAGGCACTTGGAGCGTTTCAATAAAATATAATGCTAAATAAATACGAAATCTATTTACTACCAGTCTTAATTTGTTTCTATACTCTCTTTCACCTATTATTGCCGACAATTTCCTGCAAATGCCGTCCAAATGCTCATCTGCAACAAACGCTGGCTGCCGCTGCACACTGACACAAATATATAGCAGGTAGGAAAGCGTGCTGCCAAAATTCGCTCGACGCTCGCTTGATATTATACGAATACAACACAAATATTCAACCAATCTACTCCATCTTTGTTTCTATTTGAAGAACACTAACACTTGTTACAAAAACATACTGTCTGTGTTTGTAACCGAGCTGTGTCACGCGAAATCACACAAAGCCTGACGAAATTCTCGCGTTCGCTCCCGTTGCGCAGTTTATGTAAATGGCTGTCGGAATCAGGAAACACCCACCGGCACTTATTGTGACCTCATTTTTGCGCCGCAACGCTGCAACGTTTTTGCAACGCTCCACTGGTGGCTTTGAGAGGCTCGTACGGGAGTTGGAAAGCCGCGTGGTAGTTTCCCAAAATGCAATTCGCCGCCTATAGCCTTGTACTTGCAGCAATTTACATAAACTGCGCAACGGGAGCGAACGCGAGAATTTCGTTAGGCTTTGTGTGATTTCGCGTGACACAGCTCGGTTACGAAGATAGTTACCAGGGTACCCAGCTAGGGTACGTTCTGGCAGTACCCTGGGGACATGGGTAAGACTAATCCCCGGGAACTCTGTGAGGGTGAGCCCAAAGTGTAGGGGTAGTCGGGTAGGGTAGGCCTAACTCTAACCCTAACCTAAACACTAACCATACCCTACCCGACCACCCCTACATGGTGGGCTCGCCCTCACAGAGTGCCCTGGGATTAGTCTTTTCCGGGGGGACATAGATGATAGACCCTAATGAGTATATGAGCGTGAGTGTGAGTAACACTGACAGTGACACTGTCAGACTCACTGTGACTAACTATTACTATTACTATTAGTATTATTATTCAATCAGGAATTTACAATATCAATCCATCGTCTATCTTCATGGATATCTTCTACTTCAGTTGCTGTGGCAGCTGGATTCATGGTAATTCTTCTTTAACACCAGTTAATCAAGGTGTGTAGAAATTATTCACTGCAAGAGACTGAGAAAAACCATAGATGGAAAAAAGAAACAGCAACTACACGCTTCGGAGTGTACTCTCACATTCGTTAACTTCATGACCAGCCGCCGACCGTACATAAACAACAGTTTTTACTGCTCGCACGCATCATAATATTTGTGGTCATCAATATTTACAGTGAAAGGCACACATATATTATACATAAGCAAATAGATTTGGTTCAACATACTTCTGTTGATTACAATGGCTTTGCGACAATTAGGATTAATCAATGCAGTGTTTTTACAATACAGATGATCCATCTGGAGTCTAAGACATGTCTTAGACATGTTGTTTTGACTTAGACATGACTATGACTTTGACTATGACTTTGACTATGTCTTAGACATGTTGTTTTAATCTAATTTAATGATCCTGAATATGTGAAAAATGTACCGTATGTCAACTTTAATTTTATGTATGTCAGGCTCAAATTTTAACATCTGAAAACATAAAAAACATTTAAAAAACACGGCCGTCATTTATAAACAGCATTATGACACGTACCAAGAGTACGTAATAGAGATTATATCTATTATATATACTCTTAATATAGTTATATCTTATTCAATTGATTGATTTGTTGGTTGTTTATTGAGAAATTGTTCGTACACAATTAACATGATAAGAAACCGTACTGCCCATGCCGACCCGTGATACCTATGTATGCCATATATCCACTGGCGTTTTCCGAAAACCATGAAAGGGCATAGGTGATAGTGCGATTGCATGTTGCGCGAAACGTGCGATAAATATCAAACGCGTATGCATACTTCAGGTTAAGTTAAGTTTAGTTTAACATAAGTATGCGATTTAAGTATGCATTAAGAAGCATATATAGGGCCTACTTTATACGCTCTTGATAATATAGATATGTTTATGGTAATAATAATAATAAATACCTTGCACATGAATGCTACAGTTATCTTGATCCTCTTGCATTCGATTTGGTTTCTTGTTCTAATGTTAGCAGGCGTGAAATTAACCCTGCACGAATTGTGGACAATAGCATCGTTATTGCGTGCATGGTTCCTCAAGGCATGCTTAACTTCTATTCTTCTTTTATAGTAGTGTTGCTTTGCTTAGCTCTGTTAGGTACTCTCCGCGCGCCATTGCAAGGTTATCGTGACAAACAGACAATTATTTACGCATTTCTTAACGATTATAGATACTGGCACTGAATACAATTAGGCCGCAGGCAGAGTAAGTTTATATAGCATCGCGGCAGGGATTTTCAATTTGATGTTTTAATCCATTGCTGAGCATAGTTGAGATTCCGCACTGGGGATTCATGCGGTTTTGTTCACTCCATAATCGATTATAAAGACCGGTTTCCTCTGCCCTGAGACGACGTTCTGAGAGAATTGCAGCAGCTATTAGTCTCACAAAAGGTACTAAATGGTACAGTGATCATAAACGCATGTTTATAGGCTACCACTGAGATATATGCCCTGAAGCTATCCTAGTATCATCCAACTACGCTTATATTATAAAACGTACCTACGCGTCAATGTGACTACAGGCACTGCTATTACGGATTCGTCATGGTCCGGGTGGCACGAAATGAGACAATCAAGACTACCCTACCACGCCCCATGAGTTCCTGGTATCACCATATACTTGCTCGCAGCGCGCCAGTATGCGCCGACGTTTCTAGATATCAGACCCGGCTCTTGCGCGCACCTGCGTCTAAGAATCCATAAAGCCGGTTCGATAGGTAAGGTTTGATATGAGTATTCCAATTGCTAAACTGTTGCACTATATGTGTCGATTGTTTGTTAGATAACGTACCACTTGTGTTCGTCGAATAGCATCTATCTATCTATCTATCTATCTATCTATCTATCTATCTATCTATCTATCTATCTATCTATCTATCTATCTATCTATCTATCTATCTATCTCTTTCTCTCTCTCTCTCTCTGTCTCTGCCTCTCTCTTCTCTCTCTCTTCTCTTCTCTCCTCTCTATAATATATATATATATATATTATATATATATATATATATATATATATAATTATCATTATATATTACTATATTACTTATATATTATATAACTATATAGGTATAATTATGTTCATGATAATATGCAGGATGCATGCATCGAGCACCGTTACGCTACAAACATCCCTGCAGTCAACCTTCCCTACAAAACATCCCTTCCCAAACATCCCTGCAGTCATTGTTACATTCATTATTTGTCATATAATGTGTTGGCTGCGGGTATCAATATAAAAGGAAAGCATGCACGCGCGCAATATTGCGCGCGTATATAATACATACATACGCACGCGCACACGCACGCACATACAATTTATAAAACGTGCAAAGAGGGATTAATGTCGCTGATCTGTATATTGTAAGACTTACTTTAATTCCGTACTGACGATAGTTACAGGCTACAGCTGGATTGGACGCATTCTGATTTGGCTTGTACGCATTTACCGCTGAACTCCGCATAGCCTTGCGATCACCTCACACGCACGATGCAGCTGTACGTTTACTTGTCGCTGGCGGCCATGTCCCTGATGATCGTTTGCGTTCAAGGCGCCCCGAACGCACGCATGACGGGATCCGGCTCTGGGCGAGCACAAAATAATGGTACGAACAAGATCCGTTTCCGTGGAATACACGTACATAGAAAGTTATCATTATCAACACCCGCGCTGTTTCTCTCATCTGTTCTGCGCCCGAAAGTACAGATCTAACTAGGAATAGACGTTTGCCAAAGTTAGCTGTATCATCTTATGCCACGTTTCTTGCGCTTGCTAACCATGGACTTCTATACCTGCATGTTTAGTGAAATATTAAAATCATTATATTTAAAGAATTAATTAAGTTGTTACTCGATGTATTAAGAGCACGCCTAATTACTACTACCCGAACATTCTACATAAATAAGTAAATAAACATAATTTAATATAATCCGAACTAACATCATGATTATATTATTCACTATCTCTTTTCTCTACATAAACACCGAGTATTAATAAACCACATACCTCACTAACATTTCTGCGAGCTAGCATGAAGTAGAAGGATCCCACTGGTCGTCAACATTAACCGACAACCGACACAAACACGTTAAAAACGAAAGCAATCTCTCACTGATACGGAATGCACATTCGTGATTCTTATTTGCCAGTTAGCGATGGTGAGCAGGGTCTATTTTCCGCAGCGTGAAAATTTATCATTATCAAGGCAGTGAGTGGGGGATTAACATAACTTTTAATTTGCATCCGTTGAATTAACCACTATAATGATCAGGAAAGATCACACAACCGAGATCTCCGATAGATAGCAGTAATCATGTGATGGTCCGCTGTAGGTGGTGGCCGACGCAACATGGCGATAGACTTTGATGACGTGGATGCGAACGCACCACGGCGACGAAATCCGTTGGAAAACAGAGGCGAAAGGGACGACAATGGTCGTCTGAAGAAGAACGTGGTACGTGTCAACCAGCTGCGTCTTGCGTATCCACAGGCGCAGTTTTACACTAGTCGAGAGACGAGTGATTATCGGTAGACGCGCGATTCCGCATGTGGAGGCGGCATGATCCGCCTCAATATATCTATAGCCGCGACTACGCCCACCAACATCGAAACAATTAACGACCTTAATTAAATTACGACCGCCCGATAATGAACATTGTTATTGTCGCATGTGAGCACCCGTGTAATATGTACGTATGTATAAGCACTTGCGACTGCGTTTGGGCCCGAGCGCGCTAGCGCGCAATATCGGGTCAAGTTAACAGGTATACTGTATATGTCACTAGAATATATGTGTCACTAGACTATATGTGTTCATGCGACAGCGTAGAGGCAGTGTATCGAAGAGAACACGGTGGCCTATATATATATAATAATAATATAGCATATTCCTAATCTTGTTGCAATCGTTACAGAACCCGAATAGGGGTGGCTTCGGTACTGCAAAGTTTGGCAGGATGAAAACTAAGTGGCTCCAACTTGCCAACATGGCGCAGACGTTTCACGCAAGGACGTAAGTGTGGTTAACGAACTCATTACTTCTCTTTCACCCCCCTCTCTCTCCCTCTCGCTTTCTCGCTTTCTCTCTCTCTCTCTCTCTCTCTCTCTCTCTCTCTCTCTCTCTCTCTCTCTCTCTCTCTCTCTCTCTCTTCTCTCTCTCTCTCTCTCTCTCTTTCTCTCGCTCTCGCTCTCTCCCTCACTCTCTCCTTCTCTCCGTCCTAAATCTATATTCTCACCTTCAACCCTTCCCTGTTTATTCATTTCTCTCAATCGCCCGCCCGAATACGAACCCCGCAAGTTAGCTGTACGGCAGTGTTCGCGCCTGCCGGCGTTAAAGGAGATAGTAGGTATAGTATACTGCTTAAAACTCACGCGCGCAGCCGCGCTCATAATACGTTTAAGATTGTCCTACGAGGTTCACCGTGGAGTGAGAGCCAGTCGCAGCGTATACAAAAGCTGTGCCGTGAAAAAGAGCGTGAAATACGCCAAACACCCGCGCGCCTGTAAATACATAAATACATACAGGCATGGAGAAGGCACACACGCATATGCACGCATGCACTAACGCACACGTGCGCTCACACGTACGCGCGCGCGCGAACGCACGCAGGCAGACACGCGCGCTTGCACGCACGCATGTATATACATATATATGATCAGGAGCGTATAATTACAAATGCGCTATAATATTTTGTCATTATACGCTCCTGATATGATGTATATAGTACCTTTCAGAAAACCCCCACGGCCGATGACTGGGATGGGCTATTCGGGGACGTGGCAGCCACTGAGGAATTGATCGACAGGTTTACGAAATCTTTCGAGAAAGTACGGCGCAAGAAGCTTAACGCACGAGGGACGGGCAATAGCAGGACGGTAACCGGCGCAAGTGACGCTGTGACCAATGTTGCGAGCGGTGGCTCCAGACAGCAGGGTAGCCGCTCGCAGAGGCGGCGGAACAGCCGGTCGACTGTAGTATCAGAAGCGACCATACGCTGGCCGCTTAACAAACCGATACAGTTCGTCATAGCCGACCACAGTGAGCACACTTTCATAAATTTGTGAGAAAATTAACCCATAGACGTCATTTGTCACAAACGTAATTTTTTTGGTCATTATTGACCCCTGGTTCAATTAAACACTACAGCGTCGTGGTATTCAGAACGCCACGTTGCTTGGAAGAGAAAGCCAATGCTTATCAACTGACGCAATGCAGACTGTCGCGTGCAAAGCGACATGGCCGCGGCAACTTTTACTGAAGCAATACTGAATGACGCAACCCTAATTTGCAGGCGCGGAATCCGAGGCCGTTATTCGGGCTGCTATCGACCACTACGAGGAAAATACATGTATTCGGTTTGACGAGAGAACTGCAGATACCGTCAGTGACGACTATTATCTGAAGTTCATCAAGGGTAGTGCGTGAGTATCCGGCTTATAACGTATAATGAATAGACGCTACACGTGTACGTGTGCACGGGGGCGTTCGTGCGTATACGCGTCTGCGTGCGTGTTTGCGACAGTGTTCATTTGCGGTGCAAGCGCATGCGCTCGTGCTCGCATATGAACACCGCAAGCACGGTTTGTTAATTCGGTTGGCATTGGTTTGTTCCAGGTGCTACTCGTTCGTAGGCAAGGTTTTACAAGGTGGCCAGATAATATCCATTGGAGAGGATTGTGACGAGGTGAGTCTGAGAATAACCGATGTGATAAAATTCGGGCCCCACGTCAAGTACGTGACGGTGCTTACACTAACAAGCACTGCAGCAGTTTTGCAAGTCACATGGCTTGGCCAGGGAATCAACAATTAACTATATCCTCTAATAACATCCGGCACGCTGCAGATCTCAACGCATTTGAGAGCCGTCTGGGGGCGTGGGCGGATCCATTCTGTAGGTGTGCGATATTCCACGCCCACCCCACTCCAATAGGTTAAATGGTCCAGGGGTGTTGCCTAATTCCACATGCATTATATTGTCAGCTCAGCTGCTACTGCATCCTTTCTCACATTCGTGTGATGTTTGTTACCTTTGACAATGATATGACTGATCTTTATATTTTCCTTTTCCTTTTTTGTTGCTTTATTTGTTCTGTTATGCATACATTGGACAATTTTAGTTTTATTGACTATATCGCTATGCTATATGTAGTGTAGGCATATTATTTATTTTAACAACTAAAACAAACCCATCATTTTCTTAAGCAATATAACGACTTCTGCAGCCTGATAACTTTCCCCACTCATTTGTAATAGCAGAGATACGTCATAGTCATCGATAGGATATAAAAAATGGTTGCTCCGTATATAGAGGGTATAGGAACGTTATTTTTGGGGCCACGGGATTGGATTGTTGGGAAACTAGTAAATACAAGATAAATGTTTACAATATGTTTGTTTAACTTACTGGGCATTGAGATTTTATTTAACTAGATACTGAAAATGGTCCTCTCCATTCCTATCTCTTTCATTCTCACTCCCTGTAACTTTCTTCATTCGTAGCTAGGTATAGTTGTCCATGAGATTGGTCATGCACTAGGACAGGAGCACGAGCAGAATAAACCTAATAGAGATGCCTACATCAACGTCGACTACAACAACGTATTGCCCAACAAAGTTCCTAACTTCATCAAGACAGATGAGGAGGATGTCTTGGACTTGAACCTACCCTACGACTACAGAAGCATTATGCACTACGGCCAATACGTAATATATTCATGTCTATCTATCATTTTCTACTTACACTCCTGTCTTATATTATAACTTTCAGTGGTAACCCAAGCTTTCTTCATACTATAGCGGCGCATTACACAACAAACTATGCCACTGTTGAATTGTTTGGTAGATTTTTACCAGTAACAACTTGCCGACGATGAGGACCTTAATCGACCAGCCAAAGGAGAAACAAAGAATTGGACAGGAGGAAGGACTGTCATACATAGACATCAGAACCATCAACAATGTTTACTGTGCAGGTGGGCGAGATATAGCAGTGAATGGTCGCTTACACGCACTCCCACAGAAACTCACATTTTAAGAAAATATAAATCATCATTTTGCTGTCATCCATCATGAGCCAGCCACGTTTGATTAATTTATTTTAATAATTGCAACCAGAGCGACTGATGTGAAAACAATACGTGAAAATGGAATTATATTGAACGATGATGCTGCGCCACTATTATAACAAGAGTTTCATCCAACGCAGGTGCCTGCACTGGGAATAACCTTTGTATGCGAGGATTTCCGCACCCGAACGACTGCACACGCTGCATCTGCACTCCCGATTTCACTGGGCAGCACTGCGAGAGCCTGCTGCCACCTACTGGCAGTAAGTTGAGTTTCCTTGTCAATACTGCAGCCATGGTCATTAGTATCATCAAATCATTACTTACATATGCTACACAAATGGAGCAAGGTCCAAGCACGCACGTAAAAGCTACGTAGCTACATGGGATAGTAGGGATAGTGAAGTCACAAAATCTGTGTGTGAAGAGAAAGGGGTGTGAAAATACAGCAAATAAATATCAAAAAACAGTAATTCTATGATCATTGAGAAACATTTTGATCCCTGAAAAAGTCTGCTCCTTGATCCTCTTAGCAGACGTGCTTCACTATCTGCTTAGCAGGTGGGGTGGGGCATAGCTCTGAGTGCAGTGTTTATAGTAACTAGATGAGAGGGAGGGTTCCGGGCCCCATTACTTTATAGTCACTGCATGGCTAGAGGAATTGTATCATTCATATAATTCAGTGAGCAGATGTGAGATTGATGATTGGCTTCTACCACAGCACATGTGAGGCATTAACGATATTTATCGGTCTGTTGCAGCAACTGTTCATGGCAATACCATGCAACTAGAGTGTGCCAGTATTGGCTCCATGAATATCAGCTTAGAGCCAGAAAGCCAGAAGGCCAAAACTTCTCTACTGTTGTCGGTAAGAGCTCAACCTTGTACTCTCTGATATTACCAAGGCCATTACGATATAAATTCTTACAGTATTTCTAGATGAGTGGCTTACAAGTAGTATTTAAAAAGCTTTCGTAAGAATGTAGTAATGGTACCTAGCATACCACCCCGAGAGGCATGATATTATTGATATAGACCGAGTCAATTGAATATTTCTCCTCTCAGGTGCCCTCTACAGATTGCTCAGACATCATTTGACAGACATTTGAAATGGCTGCAAAAATGCAATGGCATGTTTACAACTTTACAGCACTCTCCCCCCACACTAACCACCCACTATCTAGCCTTTAATAAAAACTTGGTTTCTTTACATCAACATACCATTGATAATGAGGCATAGCTAAGGTTCCAAGATTCTATGCAGCATACACAGTGAGAGGGCAACATAATGTGGTATGTCAATGTTGTAATCATGCTTGAGATTATTTGTGCTGTACTCGTAGTCACCTCCTGGGAGTCATGTATCGGTGAAGCTAACTGACATGGACACCATTCATTACGTGAACAAGACAACAAGAGAACCTATCATTGAGCGTGGATGCTTGGACAGCTGTGAGATCAAGACAAATCCAGAGATCATAGGATATAGGTAGGCCTATCAGCTTAGCTGCTTTTTATCTAGCACAGCAGCCCATCTATGCATGTCCCTTTTGTAAAATATTAGCTTAAACTCCTTGGTAGGTGGTCCTCTCTTGTGCACTTGGTTGTTTTGGTAAATGGTGATCTCCTTAGCAGATAATTATCTTCTGGGCATGGCTCATCTCCTGGGTGTGGGTCATTTCCTGGGCATGGGTCATCTCCTTAGTATAAGTAGTGTCCTGGGCATGGTTCATCTCCTTAGTATAAGTAGTGTCCTGGGCATGGGTCATCTCCTTAGTATAAGTAGTGTCCTGGGCATGGGTCATCTCCTTAGTATAAGTAGTGTCCTGGGCATGGGTCATCTCCTTAGTATAAGTAGTGGCCCTGCGGCAGGTCATCCTCCTAGACATAGTTGTGTCCTGGGCAATGCGGTCATCTCTCTTATACTATATGTCCTGGCATTAGGTCATCTCTTAGTATGATAGTGTCCTGCATGTCATTCTCCTTAGACAAGTATGTCCTGGGCATTGGGTCACTCTTTAATTATAATTAGTGTCCTGGGCATGGTCAATCCTCCTGATGAAGTCAGTGCCTGGCATCGGGTCATCCCTATACAAGTTGTGTCCTGGCATGGTCAGCTCCTTATATTAGATGTCCTGGCCATGTCATCTCCTTAGTATACATGTCCGGCATGGTCATCTCCTTAGACAATATCGTCCTGCATGGGTCTCTCTTTAGTATAATAGTTGCGCTGGGGCATGGGTCTCTCCTTAGTATGAGTAGTCCTGGCATTGTCATCTCCTATATGTATCCGTGTCCGGACAGGTCATCTCCTTTACCGTACAAGTATGTCCTGGGCATGCGGTCATCCTTAGTATAAGTAGTGCGTCCTGGCATGGTCACCGTAGTATAGTAGTGTCCTGGGCATGGGTCATCTCGTAGTATACTCATTGTTCCGGGCATCGGTACATCTCTTAGTATAATAGTTGTCCTGGCCATTGCACTCCTATACAACTTGTGTCTGGCATGGGTCATGCTCCTAGTATACTGTAGTATGTCCTGGGCATGGGTCACTCATCCTTAGTAGATAGTGTCCTGCATGGTCACATCTATGATAAGTGTTCCTGGCATGTCATCTCCATAGACAAGTTGTGTCTGGCATGGTACATCCCTATATAATAGTGTCCTGCATGGGTCATCCGTTATTTACATAGTCCTGCAGGTCAATCTCTTATATAAGTAGGTCCTGGCAATGGGTCATCTCGTTAGTATAATGTGTCATGGGCATGGTCATCCTCGTTATATAAAGTATGGTCCTGGCATGGTCTCTCCAATTAGTATAAGTAGTGTCCTGAGCATTGGTCATCTCGTAGATAAGTAGTGTCCTGGGGGGCATGGGTCACCTCTTGGGCATGGGTCATCTCCTGGGTATGGATCATATCCTTAGTACAGTAGTGTCCTGGGCATGGTCATCATCCTAGATAAGCTATTCGCCTGGCATGCATCTGCCTTATATGAATATCTGCCAGGTCATCTCCTTAAGACAAGTAAGTGGCCGGGCATTGATCACTCTTTAGTCAATATATGGTCCTGGCATTGGTCATCATCCTAGTAGAGTTAGTCCCTCCATGTCATTCTCCTTATTACAAGAGGTCCCTGCATGTCCCATCTCTCTTAGTATACATCACTGTCCTGGGCATGGGTCATCTCGTTAGTATAATTGCTGGGCAGGGGTCATCTCCTATATACATAATCCTGGCATGGGTCATCTCCTTAGTATGAGAGTGTCATGGGGCATGGTCATCTCTTAGTATAGTAAGTGTCCCGGCATGTCATCTCCTTAGTATATTCGTATTCCGCGGCATGGCATCTCCCCTTAGTATAATTAGTGTCCTGGCATGTGTCATCTCCTATATAGTAGTGTCCTGGGAGGTCCATCTCCTATATAAGTGTTCCTAGCATGGTCAGCTCTAATACAAAAGTGCCGGGCATGTCATCTCCTTAGTAAATAGAGTAGTGCCTGGCCATGGGCATCTCCTAGACAATAGTGCCTGGCTGGGGTCATCTCCTTATACAAGTCATGTCCTGGCCATGTCCATCTCCTTAGTATAGGTTGTGTCTGGTCATAGGTCATCTCGTTATAAAGTATGGTCCTGCATGGTCTCTCCTTAGTAAAAGTAGTGTCCTGGGATGTCATCTCC